ATTCTCATTCTACATGGTCAGTGTGGCCTTTTCCTTATTCTCTGCTATCACCATATCCCCAGGGCTTAGTTCAGTGACCAGCACATCGTGGGTATCTCTGTTGAATAAATGAATAAATTGATGCGTGAGGAAGCCGATGACTGAAGCCCAATATCACTTGCTTCACTCTAGAATTTTAAACATCTTCCTAGGCTGGGTGCAGGGGCTCATACCTGTAATCCTAGCACCCCGGAGCCCGAGGTAGGTGGATTACTAAAGGTCACAAGTTTGAGGCCAGCCTGAGCAAGAGCAAGACCCCATCTCTACTAAAAATAGAAAAACTAGCAAGCCGTGTGGTGGGTGCCTGGAATCTCAGCTACTGTGAGGCTGCAAGGCAAGATTGCTCAGCCCAAGGGTTTCAGGTTGCTGTGAGTTAAGATACCACAGCACATAGCACTTTCCCCAGGGTGACCGAGTGAGACTCTGTCTCAAAAAAAAAAAAAAACACAGCCTGAACAACATGGTGAGAGCCCTCCCCCGCCAACTCTATAAGAAAGTTATCAAAATCAGCTGAGTATACTGGCACATGCCTCTAGTGTCAGCTGTTGGGAAGACTGAGATTGGAGATTGCTTAAACCCAAGAGTTCGAGGCTGCAGTGAGCTGTAGTTATACCATTGCACTCTGGCCCATCTGAAAAAAAAAAAAAGGGAATAAAGATCTTCCTGGCTCAGTGCCCGTAGCACAGTGGTTATGGCGTCAGCCACATACACAGAGGTTGGCAGGTTCAAACTCAGCCCAGGCCAACTAGGCAACAATGACAACTGCAACAGAAAAATAGCCAGGCGTTATGGTGGCTGCCTGTAGTACCAGCTACTTCGGAGGCTGAGACAAGAGAATCACTTGAGCCCAGGAGTTTGAGGTTGCTGTGAGCTGTGATGCCACAGCACTCTACCTAGGGTGACAGAGTGAGACTCTGTCTCAAGTTACATTCAAGTTTCCTATCTGAAATAAAAAATTAAATTCAAATTAAAAACATAAAGATGGACTTGTTGGGTCTGGATTTCTATGAGGGCCCGTAACTAAAAGGTGGCTTCTGGTCCGCACTCTTCTTAATGCTCTACTGTGGAGAACAAGACAGAGACGCCTGATTCGGGACACATAGCTGGGAACTGCACAAACACCGAAGACGGCTGGCAAAGGGGGAAAGTGTGCTTTTCTGTTTCAGGAAACCTGCTGACGTAGGGAATGCCTCTGTTTTTCTGCAGAAATGCTGCCTTCAGTGGACAAAATTCAGCCACAATCAAGCTAATTGAATGCACAAATGTAATATTTTTCCAGGGCACCTCCAATTTAATGCTTGATGAAATTGTGTCTTTCGCATATATTTACAAAAGCGTTTCTTCATCCAGAAATGTCTGTTAAAATTGCTTATAGATGCTGAGATAGCAAATCACTCTTCTAATGTAATGAGATAAGTCATCTCTATAAACTTGGCTTGCTCAAATGTACTCGCATAAAAGAAATCAGGCTACAAGCTTTTTTCAATAAATAGAATGAACAACTAGAACTTGATGGCTTTAGCGTGTTCTGCCTCATTGCTAAGGGATGTTTAAAATTGCTCCTTCTCTCTCCATCTCTCTCTCACAGAGCAGAGTTTTCATTTTGGTGGTTGATGGGGAAAGGAGGTCAGATAAACTGATGTAAGAAGCCAAAGCCATTTGTCAAAACACAGGGAGAAGTCTAGAGACTGGAGTCATTTAAAGACTAAAAATTGATTTAAAAGATTCCTATCCTTGAATCGTTCTTCTTGCTAAATGCAGCCATTCCACGTGCCTGATTTTCCCTGCTATCACTATCTTTATTAATAATTTGCACCATAGGAACTCTGCATCCTGGAGAAGGTTCATATACATAATTGTCTGTGCACAGCCTGGTAAAGCTGGTTCAAAGATCATGAGTCCATGGAAAAGTCAAGACCTTTAGGAGGTCACTCGTTTATTTTCAAGTACGATTTATCTTCCAAGTTTTTAACCTGGAAGCCAATTCTGTAGCAAAATGTCTCTTAGGCCTTCTCACACATGCCTGTAGGGGCATCGTGTATGGCTGCTCAGGTTGCACACTGCACAACTCCAGGGGAGAGACCCTTCACCTAGACTACACTGTGCAACGTGTTCTCGGGCGCTGTGCAATGTGACAGCCCCCCAAGGTCGGGGAGGGCAAATGATCTTCTTGATCACCATGCGTTGTGCTTCATGGCTACATTGTACCCGCTGCCTTTTAATGCCTCAAGGAATAAAATCGAAGGTCTTGTTATCGACTCCCCAAATGTTAAAGCCTGCCTGGTGCCCTTTCCCTTCTCTTTGCAATGTAAAATTGTTGGAGAAAATATTCAAATCTCCAGATGGTTCTCTTTACTTCAAGAAATGGTTTGGACAGCTTGACTGAGGACAGGCTGAAATCCAGAAGAAAACGGGACCAAATTTCAAGTGCCCTTGCTGTCAGTTTTGGAAAACACCAGACAACCAGTGCTCCACACACCCGGACGAGAGACAGCAGGCAGTGTTTGCAACAGCTCTCCTGGATCCTTCCCTGCGCCAGCCTGCCTTTTGGATTTTCCCTCACACCTGCTGGAGGGTCTAGATTGGCCAGATGGGTGGCCAGGCTGTCCTGGGCATGGCGGGAGCAGAGGCGCCCCATCCTCACAGCACGGCCCTGCCTCCTACTAAGGCTGTTCCCTTTGCAGGCTGAAACGTAGTTATGGGTGAAAGTAAATAAAGCCTCAATTTTTCCCCATCTCAAACATTGCTCCTGACAGCCTCTGCCCAACTCTCAGGTTCAACATGATAATTTAGCCTTAAACAGCGAGGTTTCTGGCTCTCATGCAATTCCTTGAACTCTGCTCCAAGCACACAAAAATGTTTATGTGGGCACTTAGGGGGATCAATTCTAATATGCATAGCAGTACACATGTGATTAAAAATCCCCTATTTTGGTATAACCTGCTTTTTAAAAAATATCTCAGTGAACTTACAGATAGTTCAGGGACCACTGGCGCCTCAAGACCTGTGCTCCATCTGAATCTCCATTTTTGCCCAAGGGCCAAAACCACCCTATCAGCTCACAGACGTATTTTGTTTGGCCAACCCCATGCTGGCGCTGCTGTTTTCACTGAATATGAGCACCTGAAGCAGAGCCGGTGCCGCTTGTTCCTCTGGACTCCTCACTTCTTTTCGGCCTGCCCACTTCACACATTTATTTGCATTTCCCGCCGAGTCCCTGCAGACTACTGAGATTGTCCTACATCAGCCAGGCATAGGATGGGGAGGAAATATAGGAGAAAGGTTTGGGAGAGGCATCGACTTCCCCTCGCCCCCAGCCCTACACCCTGCCTGGGAAAAGTACTTGGGTAAAAAGGAATCTGCAGTATCCCGGGCTGGCCGCCTGGCAACGCCCTCACACTTCCTAACATGGGAACATAAATACGGGCAGCCCCAGTCATAAACATCCAGCTTACAGACAATGGTGGCGATTACAGTTAAGCCCCCGAGTTACAAATTTCTGACTGGCCTACAACTAGCACTTATGAACAGAGGCTATTACAGGTATTAAGTAAATGTACCTGGTCCAACTTCAGAATTCAATTTATGGCTCGGCCCCTGTGGCTCAAGCGGCTAAGGCGCCAGCCACATACACCTGAGCTGGCGGGTTCGAATCCAGC